ATTCTTCAGAAGTATAGATACTTAAGATCTGAAATTAAAAGAATTTAACATTAAAATAGAGTGGAATTTATTCCTCACTTTCTAAATTTTGTTACTCGGTATTCCTTCCAAGTTTTTTCAATACAATGATAAATAAATTTGAAATTAATACATCTAATACTGTTCCAGTCTTATTTTTTTTAATCTAATGTTTATATTTATTAAATAGTAATGTAGTGTGTGGTATTCTAGGTGAAACACCACGAATACAGGGTGTATTTTTTATTCTAAAACTTTCAAATATCTCGAGAAAAATAAACACTATTTCGTGTTTTGCAGTCGCAAAAAATATAAACGTTAAATAAGGAGGTAATAAAACATTTTTACAAAAATTATTTGAACAAGGGAAATGGTATCTTTAAAATAAAATACAAAAAATGCGTTTATTTGAAAGCAGATTTAATCAAGCACTCCGATAAGTCCTAAACGAAGAAAATCGCATTGACCAACTAGTAGTTATCCCAAAAAGGACGCCTGAACCTGGGTTACGATAATGGACAATTTTTTAGTAATTAAAAATTTGAAAAAAAATATAGTTTTAAGACTAATTTTTGATTATTTACAGTAAAACGTGGTATTTTTTTTATTGAAAATGTACTGCAGAATCGTATGCATACGTTTTCAATAGAAGAAATTGAAAAAATCTAATTTTGTCGATCATAGCACCATTTATCATTAATCTAAAACGTTTCAGACAAATCCTACGTACTTTAAGCCCTAGAATTCGAATCTCCAATAAAAAATGGGGGTCCCCACTAACAAGGATTTGGGGAGAGAGATTAATTTTAGCAGTAATGTAACTTCCCTCGCGGAATTTTGATTACTGCCATTTTTTTTGTAAGGCACTTATTTCTCGAGATATTTGAAAGCATCGGGTTAAAAAATACACCCGGTATATGCCTAAAGAACTATAGACGCCTTATATAAACGTAAGAAAAATGGCAAATCGATATAAATTCGATAGATAAACTTATCACTCATACCGGACAATGGTAAAAGGTGCGTACAGGATCTTTTACATTAAAAAATAGACACCTGTAACATTTCGCCTTTTAAAATGGTGAGCAATTACCGTGGCATGAGCATGCATTTTAAAAAAAATGTTACATTAACACATTCATTCACCATATAGAGATCTTTTGAAATAACTAATTGCAGTAGCAGATTTCTAGGTGAGGTAGTCTTTAAATTTATTATTGTTCGAATGTTGCGGCGTGTAATTATACTTTCCCAGCAGATCTGTTTAGATAGTCTTCCATAGACTCACAGTACGAGGCGATTTATGTAATTCAACCAACTTGGGTAAGTGGGTTGGTGTAAAACGTTGAATTTTGTTTTTGATCTATTTTCTAATCTAATTTAACACGTGATTATTCTGGCAGTGACACAGGAGCTAATCTAGAACAATTTTTACAAATCAAGTGAATTATATCATTATAATCAATTTTTCATTTTTAATTTAAAATCGCTGAAATACTAAATAAGAGTTTATTCCATGAGAAAATTTATATGAAATATCTAACAAAAATGTAGTTAAAACAGCTGTACCTTAATAGGCCAGGAAAATAAGCTGGGAATTACCATTTCGTGACTTTTTGTTTCGGCAAGCTGAATTTATCACTATAGATGCTAAATATTATGTACAATAACATATTAGTTTGCAGTCATAAAATGGGGGGAAGATTGTTTACAGGGTGGTTAATTGTATAATTTTTACGTAAATTCACGTTTTTCGCTTATAACCTTTTTTTCGTCCATTTCCACGAGAAAACAGTAACGTACTTTTTTTTTGGTTTTCAAAAGACCTACAAAACTAGCCTCAAGCGTCAAAAAATATTGATTAGTTCAAAAGTGATAAACAGAAGAAGTTTATTTATGACATTTGAATTAAACATTTATAAACTGGGTTATTATTACCAGAACGTTTTGGCATCGCATCCTCTCATTTCTTCTCACTATCTAATAACTCACACGAAATCTGGAATCGATAAGTTGAATAGTTTACATGTTATGGGCTTATAAACAAATTAACTAATTATTAGTCTGGACAATCCCGAGGATCTTCAACAATCGCACTGATTTTCGACGAGCCGTGGCGCGGCGGAAGGGTGGGGGATCCGAACGACAGCGAATCCAAAGAAAATGATGATAATATTCATAGTCTTGCCGTTAAATAAGCGAAATTTGCTTGAAAATTATATATTTGACAGTCTGTAACTCCGTTGTTTTTCAATGGAACTTGACGATTTTTTTTTAACTTAAAGCTCTATTCATAGGGTTTCCGAATATGTAATAATATATAACTATGTCACGCTCGTGCGTCGTATATTTCATTTTACAACTAAGGCCAAAAAATAAAAAAAATCCAGGTTGCAAATTTGAAAGTAAAAAAAAATTATAGATTTGAATTAATTATTATGAAATTTACCATGAAAAAAAATCAGTGCGATTATTGAAGATCCTCGGGATTGTCCAGACTAATAATTAGTTAATTTGTTTATAAGGCCATAACTTGTAAACTATGTAACTTACCGATTCCAGATTTCGTGTGAGTTATTAAACAGTGATAAGGAATGAGAGGATTCGATGCCACAACGTTCTGATAATAATAACTCAGTTTATAAATGTTTAATTCAAAAGTCATAAATAAACTTATTCTGTTTATAACTTTTGATCTAATCAATATTTTTTGACGCTCGAGGTGACGCTAGTTTTGTAGGTCTTTTGAAAACGAAAAAAAGTACAGAACTGTTTTCTCGTGAAAATGAACGGAAAAAAGTTATAAGCGAAAAACGTTAATTTACGTAAAAATTATACAATTAACCACCCTGTAAACAATCTTCCCCCCATTTTTATGACTGTGGAAACTAATATGTTATTGTACATAATATTTAGCATCTATAGTGATAAATTCAGCTTGCCGAAACAAAAAGTCGCGTCCAACTCTATATTTCCTGGACTAAATATGAATAAATTTTGGAAAAAGTAATTTTTGAAAAAAAATTTTTAATTTTTTAGAATTATGAACGTTTTTTTTTTGTTGAAGAAAATATAGATTATTGCTAAAAAGCATTTTTAACTTAAAAAAAAAACGAATAAAAAGTGAAAAATTACTTATTGCATTGATTTTCAGTAAAACGATAATTTTTNTTTCACAGCAGAATTCAAAGTGCGCGTTGGTATCAGTTTGTTCTCAACTTTGAATCGGAAATGCGTAATATTAACAACGAACGGAGTGAATTTTACCTTGTTCTCATTCTCACATATTTTGGGTTTTTCTAAGTAAAAATTGTTTTGATAAGCTTATTTCTTTGTTAAAATCTTAAATTCATTGAAAATTCTACGCCAAAATAACTTCTCTTATAAATACCTCTGAATTCACCTTATGATATTTTCAACAAGACCTCAGTTTAGAGAAAAAAATGGATTTTCAATATTTTAATATATTGAATATTTTTTTGAATAACTCAACAAAGAAAAACAATGCGCAAATTTTCCACTCTTGATTTTCAATTCGTTTTTGTCTCCTTAATCAAATCCACGAAGAACGGATGTCACTTTTGGGACACCCTGTTATTATTTAATTAAAACATTAAGCTAACTACTTAATCTAATTAAAACACTAAATAAATGGGCATGAACTTTCTTATTTATTAACTCAAATTTAGCGAAATATATTTTACATACTTTTTATACCTTAAAAATTAAAAGAAAAACGTGATAATATTTTACTCGAAAAATGTTATCTTCTATATGACATCGGCAGTTTTGAATGCATATGTTTTTATGTAAAAGCAACAAAATTAGATCAATAATTTGCCGTATTGCAGATTATTTTGAATTAAATTGAAACTAAAATGAGTAAAAAATATATCATCTTTAACATCTACTTATTCCACACATTTCTAACATGGCTTCTGAACGATTTAATTACTAATGAAATTAATCTCAATTATAATTTCACATAAAATTTTCCTAAATTGTTTTAAGAATATACAACATCTACGAGAAAATAACCGAACTTTATTTTTTTAACTTTATTATTAGTTTTACAAATTATTGATTCTTGTCTCCTTCAAAGTACTCCCCTCCCCTATTCACACACATTTTTCCCAGCTGTGTTTCCATTTCGCAAATCAGTCATGGATATCTTAATTTGAAATCGCGTTTAAAGTCTGTGACGAATTTGCTTTGATGTTATTAACAATCCAAGAACATGTGGTTACAGATGAGGTTATGCGCAACACAATGCTGCCAACCGCATATCACTAAATACCTCTATTAGCGCGTAATTAAAAATGTACGGTTATTTTCTGAACAGACCTCTTATAAGTCAATTAATATTGCTCGTGGGGAGATTCTCCCATAAATAAGACCGAAAGGTCTTATGAATATGTGTTTATTCTTACTTCGATCTTGAAAAACAAAATGTTAGTTTTTTTAATTTTTGGGCAGGCAAAATGCTGGTGCTGAAGTATTGTTATAAAAAAATATGTAAGCCGCTGACTTTTTTGTTGTTTACCATAAAAAAATATGTACGTTTTCGATTTTAACTTCAATATATAAACCTAAAGTACCGTACCTACAGTATATTATGTAGGGCATTACTGGAATGTTTTCTTAATAGATTTAAAGCGACTTTGAAATTACTTCTGAACTAATTAATATTTTGATGTATTTAAATATTTTTCTTGCGTTATATTTTTTCTATCTAAATTGAACGAGGCATTTGAATTGCAACCAAACGTAAATAATTTATTCACATAAATTAATATATTAAGTAATTACTGTAATATATTAAAAGCAATCCGGTTCCTACTAGATCGCCACTTTATCACTGTAACAGATCTATATTAGCTAAATAAATCAACTGAAAACCTGAATTATTATTCATTACTCAAACAAAGCTACTTATAAGTTCATTGTCGAACTCTTGTTTATTTGTGTTCGTTTTTTTCCAGGTACCACTTCTCTGTCTGGTGACCTTGGCATCAACGAAGCCGATCATGGTCACATTCGGTACGAATCAAGGACCCATTATACCGAGACAACCGAAGACATCAAGTACTCAACACAAAACTGTCGTTACCAGAAGCCCAGCGCCGGTGTCGGAGGAAAGAGAGGACGTACCCAACCCAAACGCCTACAAAGCTCCAGTACCTCATCAATATAGAACGGAGCTTTATTCATTTAAGCCTCCAGCGGATCTAGCCCTGGGGACAGCTCTAGACCAGAAATACACCCCCAGCATAGACAAAATAAATCAGCAGAGGAAGCAGTTCGTTAGAAATATCCTCGGCGTCGATTACAGAGGTCCACATACGTTTGAAAAACAAGACTACGAGATTTTAGAAGCGAAAAAGAACCGCCTTGCTTGGAAATACAACAAGCCCCACTACTATCAAGAAATCGAGAAGAGGGTCGATGAGCAAACGGCGTTGCCTCAGAATAACGATTCGAAATACGTTCCCCAGATTGGAGTTGTGTATTCAGCCGGTGTGAGGTATTACGTCCCACAACTCGTTTATTACGATCAACCAGTCGCAGGTGACAATCCCGATCTAGAAAATTCTGTTTATGACGAGAGGGATACAAAATACCAACACTAAGTTTTATAAATTTGCTAAACGGACTTTAAAAATTCATTGAAATTTTACATAGTGCCAATGCTTTGTACAAATTACTTTGTTTTACAACCTGTCGAGTATTTGTTCATTAATTAAATGTTTCTAGAAATTTCTATTGATTTCGAGTTACGCTGTTACAAAATATTTAAGAAAATGTATTTAGAAAATATATTTATATATTTTTATACTGTTATTTTTTTTTAGATTAAATCAAGAAAAGGTATATAAATATTTCAGATTTCATATACGTTATACCGGGTGATTCAGTTTAATATTTGCGGCCTCGTATGTCTTTTATTTTAAAAAATAGCTATAACAAACCCTATATATTTTAAAATCGCCGCTCAAACTCTATTAAATGAGATTATTAGATCGTCTCTATGGTAACATATGGCAAAATTGCTATAGTCAACTGTTTTTGTTCAAATGGCACACTATATATTTTTTTATTAATTTTGGAAGATATTTTTTTCTGCGTTCAGCTTTGTAAGGAAGTCTATAGTTTCATTAGAAATACTGCTAGAAAAACAGCAAAAAAATGAACTCTACTTTTCGTAGGTTTATTCTGAAAAATGATTGCCAGCTGCGGAAACAACTGAATTTTGACGTTTCTAAAAAATAACGGCTTGTCAAAATAATTGACATTTTGTACCTACCTATTCTATCTATAACTAATTAATAACATGAATACCTACAGTAACCAAGAAAAAACTAGATATGATTTTAATTTATGGAGAGGGCCGAAAGAACGCTAAAGCTGCCAGGTATTTATACCAACATCATTTTCCGCAGAGACAACTTCCATCAGATAAAATTTTCGGAAAGTTAGCCAGGAATTTGGAGGCAGATGGAAGTTTTCAAAAGAAAGGACGAGTTTTTAAACCCAGAAGGGTAAGAGATGAAGAACATTCGATAAAGATGTTAAATGGCCTGCTAGATCTACGGATCTCACTCCTATAGATTTCTTTTTTTGGCCTTACCTAAATGATATTGGCGACCATAAAAACAGAATAAAAGTAGAAAGTGGGAGATTAAATGAAGAAACATTGGGAATGTGTTTGTAGTGAGACAGAGAGTAGTGATAAACAGAGCTAGTCTGTGTTTGGAAGCGAATGGAGGTCATTTTGAACATTTGAAATAAGTATTATTTTAAATTGTTATATTATTATCGTATTAAAAATAAAATAAATAAAATAAAATAAAATGTGTTACTTTAAAAAACATAGTAGCTTGTTTCCGCAGCTAGCTATCGTTTTTCAGAATAAAGCTACTGAAAGTAGTTTTTTGCTGTTTTTCTAGCAATATAGACTTCGTTAGATAGCAGAAACGCAGAAAAAAATATTTTCCAGAATTGATAAAAAATATATACTGTGCCATTTGAACAAAAACAGTTAATTACAGCTATTTTGAGATATGTTACCATGGAGACGATCTAATAATGTCATTTGATAGAGTTTGAGTGGCGATTTAAAAATATATAGTGTTTGTTATAGCATAGCTATTTGTTAAAATAAAAGAGATACAAGGCCGCGAATATCAAACTGAATCACCCGGTATTATTATTTTCACTTAGCTACTTTGCACTGAAAGAATTTTGATATTTGTAATTGTGTCATATTTTTATGATACCAAATATGTATATAATTATTTTATAATAAAATTAGTTTTAATATGTTAAAAGTTTATTTATTCCATTCAAAAAACTCTCTTCTTTATTTTGAATTATATTAATGTGTCCGGATTAAACGATTCAAAAGTAATATTGAATAAAGTAACATATGTTGTTCATTAAAAAACCAGTTTAACTAAATCGCTATTAAATTCATTTAGTGTTTATTTCTTCATGACCATCTTTACAAATTTTAGCAATTTTTTTCCTGTTTCTACGTAAAGAGTGAGCTATAAAGTATATTTTACTAAGTAATAAAATTTAATTTATTTTAATACAAGTTGAAATAACGTATTTCAAACTGCCTAAGGAGATGTTTATTTCTACTGCAGTAGCAAATTACTTAAATATCTAACCTACTTAAACCTAATATCATATTAGGGATTAGAAATTATAAATTTAATTAACTGTGTATGGTCAGTTAACCATTGGGAGTACAGTAATAAGAAATGGACAATGCGTGGAGTCCAATATTTTAGTCGATATCAAAAATTATTCCAAATTGAAGTAAAAACGGCTCATTAATTTTTGTTTTAATCAAATCTCTTTCCATTAATAAATGTCATTGACATTTAGTTCCCTCTCATAAAATTTTAAGCCAATTATAGTTGAATTAACATTAAAATTCAATCTCGGAACGGGTAATGGACCAATTTATTCCTTTTTATCACTACCTGTTTTTATAGGATTAAATCTTACTCGATTAGTCTTCAGTAAAGTGAATATGTAGGTGATGCCTCTGACATTTCGGATTAAAAGTTAACAATCTCATATATTTAGATATACGTTATATATTATAATTTTACAATGTCTGTTATTATTGTAAATTAGGCTGCTAGTATTCTTTGTCTGAACTTGCATGTGTTATTTTGTTTTCATTAAATACCGATATAGAATTGCTACACGTTTTTATTTTTCCTCCTTTTATATGTACGTACATTAGATGACAAGATAATGTCAGGAAACACAATTAAAAAAGTCGCAATCCTTTTAGCATCATAAATATTAATATTTCACTAAAAAAGTTGGTGACCTTGCTTTAGTTTATTGTTAGATAATATCAGTTTATGAGAAGCTTCAACGTCCTGTCATATTTGTTGCATACGCATGAAACTAGATTATCTGACGGAACTAAGGGTCTTTGTTCAACGAATCCATCCGCTTGAATATTCTTTTAACTTTTTGGAAGTGTTTTGGTGCAGAGTTTGTCGAGGCAATTTACAGAATAACTGTAATTGAATAATAAATTACATAGAGTGAATTTAGAACAGTACTTGCAACTGAGAACTTGTATGTGGAATATTTTAACCTACTATAATATAATTCAAATAAAAAATAATCAATTGTTTTATATCAATATAAGTATGATTATTTTTAAAAACTTTGTTAAATTCATTAGTATCTGCAGTGTAGTCTTTAGATAGACTGAAAATATTAATTTTGTTTTTCACTTTGACAAATTTAGTATATCTGATTGTACCATTTTACAAAGCACTGAACAAATATAACCCCTGCTGTGATTGTAGGCTCTAGTGCACTGCCAGTCTCGCCGTTTCATTGTAATCAGGTGTTAATTAAACAAGTTAAGCAACAGTGATTTGTTAGTAGACAGCAAAGTTATTGTACTGACCAGCGCAATATTTTCTCGTAGATTGCGGACAGACTACTAATAAGGAGAAAGCTTTATCAATTTGGAGAAATTTTATTACGTAATTGAGATGACCTCTGAGTTACGCATCTGGATTTTACATAATTGAACGGTATGCTTGACGGTTATTTATTTGTTAAGCATTACATCCGTTACCTTGATAGGAACATATTGAATGAACATTTATAATTAAAAAATTGTAAACGTAGAAATTTCGGCAGGTGTTTTCTGTGAGTACATAAATTATTAAAATTCTAAATACAGGTCAGGAAATTGATGTTTATGGCATTATTCTGGAGATATGAACATATTTTAATAATACAGTGTCCCCATAAAGTCGTGCACAAATTCATTATTAGGTAAACAAAAGAAATTATTAAAAATTCCCGAAACAGGTCGATTTTTGAATTTAATTTACTATTTTTTCAAATAATAATTTAATATACAGGGTGACCTATGTTCGAGTAATGACGTCATCACAATTTTTTTTAAATGGAACACCCCACTTTTTTTCCAATTTTCGGATTGCCCTAACTGAGCTGATTCCAAAAATATACCACAAGTTGCTTCTAATTGTTACAGGGAGGACAACAATACCCAAATTATTTACAAATACTAAATTTATTTACAAATAAATAAACGTACTAAAAATTGAATCAAATCACCACATATCATTTTAAAATGTCATTATTTTTTGCTATAATTTCTTTGATGCTTTTTTAATTTTATCTGCCTGATAGAACGTGCTCGTGTATTTCTTGCAGGCAATCATTTTTAAATAGTTTGTTAAGATTGTACAAGTAAATCCATTTTGAATGATTCTTCCTTAAAATATTGAGTATTTTTGAATTAATTAAAAAACATGATTCTAAGTGAAACCGAACGGATTGAAATTCTTATGATGATCGGATATGGTGATAGAATTCGAACTCATGAGGAAGTTTGTGTTTTGTTTAATGAAATTCATCCCAATCGTCCACCAATAAATCGATCCACGGTTAGCCGAACTGAAGCAAAGTTTCGAAATCATGGTCATGTTAAAGATATGCCCAGATCTGGCCGACCGACTGTAGATGAAGAAGTGCAGTTACAAGCCCTTTTGACCATTCATGAAAACCCGCAATCCAGTCTGAGAGTCGTAGCAGATAATTTAGGAATGAGTGAAAGTACATTGAGTAGACTTCTTCACAGAAACAAGTATCATCCCTACAAAGTCCACTTAGTACAAGAATTATGTGACGATGATTTCGACAGACGCACAGAATTTTGCGAAATGATGATGGAAGAATGTCAGGCAGATCCGGATTTTGTGAAACGCATAATTTTCTCCGACGAGGCGTCTTTTTATTTGAATGGCACCGTCAATAAACAGAATTGTCGGTACTGGTCAGATCGCAATCCACATTGGATGATGGAAGCACACACTCAGCATCCCCAAAAGGTCAATGTTTGGGCCGGAATTGTTGGTAATCGAATTTTGGGGCCGTATTTCTTTGAAGGAAATTTAGATGGTGCAAGATATTTGGAATTTCTTCAGTTCCATTTAGTTCCTTCCTTGAGTGTTCTATTTCCAAATGAAGAAGATCCAGATTTGCCCAATGAAACCATTTGGTTTCAGCAAGATGGTGCACCACCGCACTATGCCAGCGCTGTTCGCCGCTATTTAGATGACGTGTTTCCTCATCGGTGGATTGGCAGAAGAGGACCTAAGGAATGGCCCGCCAGATCACCAGATTTAACACCGCTCGACTTTTTTCTTTGGGGTTATGTAAAAAGCAAAATATACGTCAATAAACCAAACAGTATTAACGATCTGAAGGAACGAATTCGGCAAGAAGTTCGAGCGATCCCGCCTGAAGTCATTGGGAATGTACAGCAAGAATTTACTTCCCGTCTGGCCCATTGTTTGGCAGTAAATGGTCAACAATTTGAACATTTAATTTAGGTGTTTCTGGTGATTTGATTCAATTTTTAGTACGTTTATTTATTTGTAAATAAATTTAGTATTTGTAAATAATTTGGGTATTGTTGTCCTCCCTGTAACAATT